AAGTTAAATTTGAAAGAAGTGAATGAAGTAGAAAATAAATTTAAAATGAGAGATAAGAGAGAGTTGATCTGATGGTAAGCACTCCTCACTTCCAACCTTAAGGTTGTGAGTTCGAATCCCCAAGAAAGCATGATGTCGGAGCTCCTAGGGAGGATTTTAAAATAAATTTGAAATGGGGAGGGGGGGGGGGGAGGATAATAGGAAAATTAATCTTTTTTATAATAATAAAATTGTCCCTAATTAATACATTTAATAACAAAATAAGGAAATTAAATGGGGTGGGGGGGGGGGGGGGGGGGGGGGAGGATAATAGGAAAATTAATCTTTTTTATAATAATAAAATTGTCCCTAATTAATACATTTAATAACAAAATAATTTTTGGTATATAAAATATAGTCATTAGTGACGATATAATTTCGTCGGTAGTAATAACCTTTTTAGTGACAAAACATACTATTATCCACAAAAAATATATTTTTTACAACAAATGAATTTGTCACAAATGTTTAAGCATTTGGGGACGATTTTTCTTTTTGTAGTTAATATAATACTTTTAGCGACGAAGCACTAAATTGTCTTTGTATACTTTTAGAGACACACATTTAGTGACGACTGAGTGACGAATTATTTTTCGTCTCACATGATTTTTAGTGACGAAATATGATTTATAAATGACGAAATTATTTGTCCCTGATAATCGAATTTGTTGTAGTGTATCTTAAAGGAGAATCTTGAAAATAAAGCAACTAGGAACAAGGGAATTAGTGAATTTGGAGGTGAAGATTTGGTTGATGTTTTACATAGGCTTATGGAGGACACTGAACTTGAATATCCAATCACAAATGACCATATTAAAGCTGTGATTATTGTAAGTTTCCTACCATCTCATGATCTCCTTCCCTCCGATTTGTTTTAATTGTTGCTTTAGCTTCTTTTATTTTCTTGCTCAATAAAAATAACCTGGTTTACTATATCATTTCTATTTAATAAAGAAGTAGATTGATTTTAATAGGCTAATTGGGTAATTTTTGCATGCCGAACATAAATATTTAAAAGATAATCATTGAACAAAAACATTGAGAAAAGACATCAAATGTATTTTGAACTTGTTCTAAGAAGTCGATTTCACTCAAACTAATTGGGCGATCTATGTCATCCCTTATTTTTGTGGAACTAATGTCACTCTAATAGCGGTATCACCAGGAGTTAATATCTGATATGGTCTCTTAATTTTAAATAGTACACTTAGAAAGTGACTCAACTTTTGTTTATAACCCAGAGTCACTCGACATAAAACTTTGTAACCTTTATTTTTCTTAAATTTCCAAACTTGATCGGTACTATGGGACTTCTGAGGCATTACATAGGGTATATAATAAGTTTCTCAATTAGTTTAAATTTGAAATTGATATACTTTTAGCGACAATTTAAATATGCATTTGGTGTCTCTCAAAGGTTTACTGCATTATCAAAGTTAGAAGTTTATAGCTCGAGACACCTTCTCCTTAATGTTTTAGAACCCAAATTTCATCAAATTATATTTTATCTTATGTACAAATTTTATTTTATTGACTTAATATTTATGTAGGACATTTTTGTTGCTGGAAGTGAAACTTCAGCTGCAATTACTATTTGGGTACTATCAGAAATGATGAAAAAACCAAATATTATAGCGAAGGCTCTAAAGGAAGTGACACAAGTCTTTAGCGGAAAGAAAAATTATGATAATGAAGAAAAACTGGAAAAATTGACATATCTAAACTTAGTGATTAAGGAGACATTAAGGTTACATACACAGTTCCTCTTCTACCGCCTAGAGAATGTAGGGAGCAAACAAATATTGATGGATGCACCATATTCCTGCATGGGCACTTGCAAGAGATCCAGAAAGTTGGCATGATGTTGAAAGTTATATACCAGAGAGCTTTGAGAATTCTTCTATTGATTTTATGGGAAATCATTTTGAGTTTATTCCAATTGGTGCAGGAATAAGGATTTGTCCAGGAATTCTATTTGGTTTTTTTAATGTTAAACATCCTTTGGCTTAGTTACTCTACCATTTTGAATGGGAACTACCATATGGAATGAATCCAAAAGATTTGGATATGACGGAAACACATGTAATAATGCATCAGATTTAGTAGTGTCTTCTCTTTAGGACTCTGTTGTAACTTCCTCCTTGTATATAGGTTATAGATAAGTCTTACCTTTTTCTTAGTTTATCTCTTTGTTGTAGAAGCTGTATAGAATCTATATATACTTAGTTTACAATCAATAAAACACATCGTTCCTTTCATTCTACAGGCAACTTTATACTTTATATGGTATCAAGAGCCAATTACCTCTCATCAGTAAATTTCTGTCGAGAAAATCTTCCCACCCTTCCCAGAAAAATGGCCCCAAACATCACTGTAACCAACTCCAATGCCAATACAACAATTGTTCAGTTTAATCCTGTCACCCAGTTACCAATCAAATTAACTGGCAGCCACAATTTTTCCCTTTGGAAAGTACAAGTGTCCATGCTTATGCATGGTCACAACCTTTTTGGCCATCTCGACGGTTCTCGCCTAGCCCCTACTCGTGCAGTGGCTCAGAATAACAAGGAGTCAAAAATCCTACATTTGTTTCATTGTATCGCCAAGATCAACTAATTCAAAATGCCATATTGGCCTCAGTTGATCCAAATCTTGTTGCTACGGTTGTCGCTGCATCCACTTCCCAGGCTGCTTGGGATGCTTTGCACACTTCGTATGCCAACAAATCGCAAACAAGGATCTTTAGTTTGCGCTAGTTTGCAGATCACAATCACACGATCACATACAAGCCCGGGCAAACTATGCTGCTCACTCTCCAACTCAACAGGCTCCTTGGATTGTTGATACAGGCGCCACTCATCATATGTCCTCTAATGCACAAAACTTCACTAATGTGCACACCTACAAAGGTCCAGAGGAGATAACAATGGGGGACAGTAACACCATTCCAATATCTCATACCGGTAACACTAACTTAAGTGCATCAAATCAGCATTTAAGCTTCTCAATACTGTATGTTCTCATTCCATAAAAAATAATCTTCTTTCTGTTTCCAAATTTTGTCGCGATAACCATACGTCTATTGAATTCTTTCCTTTTTCTTCTTGTGTGAAGGATTTGAGTACGGGGGCGGCTCTGTTTCATGGTCAGAATCAAGATGGGCTATATGAGTGGCCGTCGGGCAGTGCACATCATACCCCTCAATGCAATGTTGTCGTTCCTCTACACCTGTGGCATCGGCGTTTAGGCCATCCTAATCATCGTACTTTAAACACAATTTTACATCAATTTTCTCTTCCAGTTTCACATTCTAGAACCGCTTTCATCTGTAATTCGTGTTATTCTAATTAAATGCACAGGTTACCTTTTTCTGAAAATTCATTACAAAGTCAATGGCCATTGTAAATAATTTATATTGATTTATGGGGGCCGTCTCCTGTTTTGTCAATTGATAACAAGAGATATTATGCCTAATTTGTTGACCAGTACTCGAAATACATGTGGCTGTTCACTATAAAATCGAAAAAGGAAGTCCTTGATGTCTTTCAAGCTTTACATCCCTTACTCGAGCGTCGATTTCAAACCAAAATTATTTCCCTCTATACTGATGGTGGTGGTGAGTTCCAAGGTTTATCATCATATCTCAAAACTCAAGGTATTGAACACTTAGTGACACCACCATACACGCCTCAAAGAGTGGCATCAGTTGAACGCAGAAACAGGCATGTAGTTGAGACTGCCAAAACCTTGTTTCATCAAGCCTCCTTGCCCTCATCTTTTTGGAGTTTTGCCTAACCACTCCAAATTTACAAAATAAATGCCCTTAAGAAATGTTATTTCACGAGGCTCCAAAGTATGAATCACTTAGAGTTTTTGGTTGTTTATGTTACCCATGGCTTAAACCGTATGCCAAAAATAAGTTGGAGCCAAAATCGACTCCTTGTGTATATCTAGGATTTTCTAATAAACATTATTGCCACCAATGTTTTGATCCCGTCAAAAATAAATTGTACTTATCTAGGAATGTTCAGTTTTTGGAAGACACGTATCCTCTTCATAATATTTTTTCAAATCTAAATATCCAGTAGAGCACTGATATTGCTTGGGAAATTTGTTCTGATGTTCTACCTGTGACTAATAAACCATCAAGTTTCGATTCTTGTCATCCCTTCCCAGATGCTCTACCCGTGCACTCTCCATTGCCCAACTCAATGCCTGCCAGATCAGAAGGTGTCTCTGTTGCATCAGGTAATTCTCAGACTTTGTCATCTCCATCATTGCCACACACCATTACACCACCATCGGATAATACTCATCCCCCACCGTCACCCAGGCCATTAATCACCTATCAACATAAACATCACCAACAACTAAGTACCTCAGTATTACCACTCTCTTCTCCTATACCTCCCACCAACCTACCTTCTCAGTTATCTGCCAATAACCCTTCCCAACCTACACTTGCTTTGACTCTATCTTATCCTTCACCCGTGGTGACAACTTCAAGCCATCCCATAATCAGACGTTCCAAAACAAATAGCCACAAACCCAAGAAGTTTAGTGTCGGTGTTCAACTCTCCTCGTCCTTTGTTCCTCGTACATACAAAAAAACATGTCCTCACCCTCGCTGGAGAGAAGCGATGCAAGCTGAATTTGATGCAGCTATTAGGAATCAGAAATGGGATTTGGTTCCAGTTACTCCTTCGATGAATGTTGTTGAGTGCAAGTGGTTTTTTCGTATAAAACATAAATCTGATTGTTCCATGGACAGGTATAAAGCTCGTCTTATTGCAAAGGGATTTACCCAATGTCCAGGCTTAGACTTCCATTCCACATTCAGCCCGGTAGTCAAACCAGTTACAGTTCGGTTGGTGCTTACCATTGCAACGCAGTACAACTGGCCAATCCATCAGATTGATGTCAATAATGCATTCTTACAAGGAAGCCTTAAGGAAGAAGTTTATATGAAGCAGCCACCGGGCTTTGAAGATCAAAGTGTCTTCACCCATGTAAGTAAGTTGAATAAAGCAATCTATGGCTTGAAACAAGCCCCCGAGCTTGGTACAATGAGCTCAAAAGCTATTTGCTAACTGTTGGATTTGTCAAGTCCCAATCTGATTCTTCTTTATTTATTTTGCATAATTTTTGATTCACTGTTTATGTTCTTATCTATGTGGATGATATAATCATCACTGGAAATCAGATTCGTGGGGTACGTCATATAATCGATGGTCTTTCCACTCGTTTCTCCTTGAAAGACCTTGGACAACTACATTATTTTTTGGGTGTTGAGGTTATCTCTTGTACTGCTGGTCTTTTCTTGTCCCAGCACAAGTATATTATGGATATTTTAGATGATGTTGTCATGCTAGACAATAAAGGAGCTCCTACACCTATGACCTCAACTACCATTTTGACAACTTCAGTGAATGATCCTCTGGCTGAAGGTACTCTTTATAGGCGGGTAATTGGAAAGTTGCACTACTTATCCTTTACACGTCTTGATATTGCCTTCACTATTAGCAAGCTCTCTCAATTTATGCATAATCCATGCCACTCTCACTGGAAAGTAGCCAAGCGATTACTCTGTTATCTTCATCACACCTTCCAATATGGCATACAAATTGCCAAAGCTCCATATTCTCATTTGGTTGTTTATTCCGATACAAATTGGGCTGCTGATCCAAATGATCGCACTTCTACCTCTGGCTATATCACTTTCCTGGGCCTCCAAGAAACAACGCTCTGTATCTCGATCCTCTACAGAAGCTGAGTATAAAGTTGTGGCTGCTGTTGTTGCAGAAATCAACTGGATCACAAATCTTCTTCATGAACTTCAGCTCTCACTTAAGGGAGTTCCACGGGTTTTCTGTGACAACATCAGCACCACTTACATTTGTTCCAATCCGGTATTTCATAGTAGGATGAAGCATGTCGCCATTGACTTTCACTTTGTTCATGAACAAGGATATTGAAGTTCACCACCTTCACTCAGTTTATCAAGTGGCTGACATACTCACTAAACCTCTTCCCAAAGTTTCTTTTATCCAGCAATATTCCAATTTGGGTGTTGTTGACACCACCAACTTGCGGGGGCGTAATAACGCATCAGATTTAGTAGTGTGTTCTCTTTAGGACTCTGTTGTAACTTCCTCCTTGTATATAGGTTATAGATAAGTCTTACCTTTTTCTTAGTTTATCTCTTTGTTGTAGAAGCTGTACATAATCTATATATACGTAGTTTACAATCAATAAAACACATCGTTCCTTTCATTGTACTGGCAACTTTATACTTTATAACATAGACTAAGTGGTGCGAAACTTAAAGATATATATTTACTTTCCAGATCATGAAAAAATGAAGAATTATGAGTATGTCTACGCAATCCTTCATCATATGAAAATGCCCAAAGAATAAGATCCATATATGCATTAAAGTTGGTTACTGAATAATTTATTCCTTAATTTAATGTGATTCGTGTAATATAAAATAATGTTTTATTCACGTCTTCCAATTTTTATAGTGGTTCATATTTAGTTTGAATCTATTTTGTTGAGACTCAAAACTTAGCAGATCCAGTTTGATGATTCAAAAATAATGAACGTAGTTTGCATTGACGCTTGAATTACATGGAGCAACATTATCTCAATATACTGGTCTATTATATAATTTGAGTGGGTATGACTATGAAAAGAAAATATAGGGAAGAAGGATTTTTTGAAATTTTTTTTATGGTTATCTCTTTGGCGTTGCTCAGCCCTTAGAATAAGTTGAAACAAACATATCAGATTCCCCTGTATGCATGCCATATTCAGTATCTTGGTCCAGCATCACACTCGAATCTGCATACGTGTGTGTCAT